TTAACTACAAGTTACTTGAACTCCAACATTAACTACGAGCTACCTAAACTCCAGCAATATTACAAGTGGCTAAAAAATCGGTTGCTGCAAAATATCAAGCACTTTCGCCTCGAAATCTTGTTTTTTAGAGATCGATCGACTCCACGTGTAATTTTGCGCCTTCTCCCGTTACTCCTCCAGATAGACCTTCCCACTTTATTGCAATTCAACATACAATTCTCCACACAGAATGTATTCACAAGGACTAGATATATGTTGGCAGCTTCTTTTCACTCCAAAGGCACTGTCGGCCGTGTGGTAGAGGTTTTGGGATTATATCCAACTGGCCGAATGAGTACTACAAAAATCAAGTTTATCTTCTAGCAAGGAGCTTAGTGCCGGCTGCAGGTCATGTGGCAGCGACCAAATTCTGTGTCTACAAAGAGTGACTTCTTGGTGCGTTGAAGGTAAAATTCCAGAAATAGAAACAGCGGCAACAGCAAAACGAGCACAAGCTGGACCTTGATCTCTGTATAGTTCGCAAGTGCAAGATCTAACATTATGATCCAATTGCTCACATCAAAGGACGTTGAAGGATAATTTGCATAAAATGAAAATCTACTAGTCGCTCCTTAATTTTATACCTATTTGAATCGCAAAAGAAAATTATATACGAATGCAAAGTTTGTAGTTTTATCATAACTATATATTTTTTCTTTCAAATCTATTTTTTACAAGTAAGAAAGTTGTAATAGATTTAGAATTAATCATATTTTAAAATGTGGATCAACTTTATCAAATGTACATGCATAAAATCAACAAATTATGATGCAATTATATTTTAATATCTCATATTGAATTTTTTGCCTAATGCATCTTAATTTTTTTAAGAATATGAGTTATAAACCGCTTTTATGTTGTATATAAAAATTAATTAATTAATATTTGAATGCATATATAAAATTAATATCGTTTGTGCGTATGGAATAATGTTCATGGAAATTATTATTATGTTTCATGTTTTCTATATGTAACCATCTTTAGTTTAAAAAGATTTATTAAGATGTTCTTTGAGATGAAAAAGAGAAATAATTTACAATGCATATTATATATTATCACGTTATCAAGTCATATGTTTATTAAATAATAATCAAATCTGTTAGTTAGTGACTTAATTAAAAATGACATGTCAATAATATGTGTTTGTTAACTATATATCATATCATCATCCATTGAAAGTGGATTAAATGATACTTCTACTTGTTGAAAATGTCTATATAACAAAAAATAAAACATTCTATGTATGTTTCATCTGTTAAATTTTTATTTTCTCTAGGAATGTTTTTTTTCCCTACTATTATAATTATTCAAAAATTATATATTATTTAATTTATATTTAAAATTAAAATGGGCTATGCAATAATATTTTCAAACTTGTTAATAATTTTTTATTTCCATTATTCAAAAAATTATTAAATAATTTATGAAGATTATTGTATAATACATTTCACTAAAATTAATCTTGGTAGTTATAATTAAGTAAATGATTATTATAACATGACAACATATCATTGATGTATCTAGATATTTTCAGAAAAGAATTGTTTTTAAGTTAAAATATCAACATGTCATTGAAAATCTAGAAATTTTGATAATATTAACTTATCACTTATCACATTAAGTGAAGTGAGAGGCTGGTTATCCCTCACTTTAGGCTTATAATATCTCACCCCACTATACTAGGGTGAGCGATATTTGGCCAAGTGGTTGGACAAGTTCTTGATCGGGCCCTTGTTGGTGACAATAACCCGAGTTTGGAAGGCTTGTAACTGAGTAGTCGTCGGTCTGTGGAAAGGTGGAGCTCTGAAATTGTCGTCTTTGCATCTTGCGAGGCCGATGGAACCTTCGTCGCACGAGACCATCCAGAAACAAGAGTGTCTTCATCGTCAACCCTATCGTTGCCAACAAAAGAACAAGGGATTCATGGAAGAAGCTTATTCCCAAATTGACAACTTGTATTGGCAACAATTGGAACATTTTGGAAAACCTCACCGCAGGTCCTCAACACGTCACTCAGCTTGTGTAGAAGGCCATCCGAGACAGAGCAACGGCCGGCCTCCTTCAAGGCCCTCTTCACTAGTAACTTCTCTCCGAGCTTCTTAACCCCTTTCTCCCACCCATTCGAAAGCTCCAAAGCGGCCTTTCGGACGCGGCCCCGATATTTATTCCTGGCCCGAGTCGCTTTGTCCGACCTCACGTGCAATTGACTTACATCGATGGGGATGGAAGGCTTCATGAAGTGGTTAATGGTTTTTTTGAGAATATGAAGCCAATTGAATCCAAACTCGTAGAATCATTTTTTGCACAGAAAACAGCTCTCGAGCTTGTAGCTCCAACTTTGCTCAAGTTTTTTGTTGGAATAGTGATACCACTAGAGTCATAGATTGGCTTTGTAGTGATTGGCTTCATGTGACAATAGCATTAGTTGGAAAAGCTACCCGGACTTAGCTGACTTGGCTAATTATTCCTCACCCTAGTATAGTAGGGTGAAGAATAACTAGACTAAAGTGAAGTATAACTAGCCACTTCCAAGTTAAATATAAACTTAGTCTCACTACTCAAATTTTATTATATTAAATCAAACTAATCCAGATCAATTGACTTGTATAATAAATTTGAAATGTTAACTTTGATTGAAACAACTTTTAAATGAACTCCAATTGATTTATCAATGATATATTTGATAATCAAATTTAATCATTTCATAATAGTATAATTTATTCATGATCATAATAGTTGTGATAAGTTCTTTGATTAATTTTACAATTAATTTGCTCATTGAATGTTAAATTTATTTTAGTTCAAGACTTCATCATGTGCTTCAAGAGAAATGTTCTATTTTTGAATGAAATAATTTAACCTTGTGGTTGATTGGATCAAAATGTTATTGTCTTAACTTCTTGATGTCATGATAAAAAATGTCTTGTACTTTCTTGATGAAATGAATAAAAAATGATACTAACTAACTTTTTTTACTTTTCTTGTGTGTAATTACATAAAAAAACATCATCCATTACTTATTTTAATAATTTCAACTGCCAATCAGATTATTGTAATAGTTAATTTGTAATTGTGAGAATATCTCCACTCGTATCATCATTATAGCTTATTCCAATTCTTTCAATTTTTGTTTATGAAATTTGAGTATCTTTTTTATATAACAAAAATAATCAAGTAGATTGTATAAAAATTTTAACTCATTTCCATGCATCATCTAAAAATATGAATATCTTAACATATATACTATTTTTTTCATATCTCTATAAAATGATTAATAATGAATTATTCTAAAGATTAAAAATTCAAAATGCATAATCAGAAGTTATGTTATGCCAATCTCACAACTTTATAATTATTTGGAATTTTATCTTTCAAAGTTTTGATAGTAGGTTTCCATCTTCTTAGAAAGGATGATGTATATCTTTCTGCTTTATATCACTTTTCAAACACTACTTTCATTACATGTCCAAGATTGCAGATGTGCTTGTCTCACAATAACATCACATGATGTGAAATGCAAATAAAAAATTGTCAAGGGAAGAATGTAACGACCGATCCCCAAATACAGCCACTTCAAGCTAATAATTATGATCTGTACTTGATGGTTACTTGACATCAGAGAAACCTAATGGATAGTTTTGGGAAAAAAACTAGTACATTTGTGAGATATTTAGTGTTGTGTGTTGTGACGTTTAATCTGATTGTGTTTACCTTGTTAAGCCTTATGCGTGTCCCAGCATGTGGACTGAAATCAACTTCCCGCATACTTTCCGTGTAGAAATGTGAGTTTCTTCATGCACTTGGTCGCAGTGGCGTTTCTTCCATATTCGACAATAACAATCCTTTTAATATCCTACACTACTCTTGACAAACACAACATTCTTGTCGATCTATTTGAATAATGTAAGTGATTCAAGAGCTGATGACGAACCGTATGAGAGAATCACAACTCATGTGCCCTATAAGAACACTTTATCATGCAAAGGCGTACTGGGAAGGACGGGCCTAGACATGAGGAGGGTGTTTTCGTTGAAGCCAAAGGCCACAAGAAGACCCATACACTGCTGGTACGTATTTCCTTCCAATAGACTGACGCATGATAGCACGCAAAGGGAACATATGTACAGTGATGGAAACTGATAAAAAAAGGCCAGTAAGTTACTGGAAAGGCAGACTAATCCAAGGATAGCTAAGTCAATCCCTGTGACTTTCGAACCCCCATACAAGCCTGGTACCATGTAAATTCCTATTAGATAACAAGACGTCCTCACTCGCTCTCTACAACTCTATAATCTGAGCTATAACTATGATACGAAAGTTTTTCCCATAGAATAACCCAGATAGTAAACCTAACCCCAATAAAGGCTGGCAATCCAGCAAGGTAGGTCTCAACAGGTAGTCACAGATGGTGGTTAAGGCTCTAACTCTTCCGCGCGGTATACACACCTTGCATTCCTTTCAAAAGATTGTCAACAAGATTAGAGAAATGACCTAGATAGGGTATGGATCAACATAGGCGTAGGCGGGTTACAACGTCACCATCAGAGCCGTTGTTTCAGCACTGCAATGCCTCCTAGTTTGTTGTCGATCAGCAGCTCGAGCGCACCTGAAATGTATGGAGAAACTAAAGCAATATGGGACACCATCATTCCAACGAGCAACGTTGTCCAAAAACAAAAGACGGATCCAAAGTGGAAGAGATTTAAAGTATAAACTGATCAGAAGCTGTGAAGCTTCAAATTTGTATCATATGGCAAGAGATTCCAAAGCCTTCCCGGTTACAGAAAGCGGCTCGCGAAAGGTTGCTTAAAATGGAAAACAAAACTATCGATGCTGAAATTCTAATGAGAAAGGAACTGCTCCTAGACCCTACATCCGGCAGATGCGCAGCCGATGATGCATGCAAGAAAGCATCCTGCAATTCAATAGCATCAAATCCATACTTTTCCAAGATTGATGAACAGGTTCGAAAAGACTTTATTATTAGAAAGAAGAAGCTTCCTTCACCACTAAAATTGACAACGCATTATTTACAAATGATGTGTTGAGAGTTTGAACTCCCGTGTGGGTAAAGAATTAAACTGGTCGATCGACCGGGATTGGTTGTTTGTTGGTGGTCAATTAACTTTGGCCTCCATCGGTTCCCACGCAAGTTTTAAAGTAGCAAGTTACTGGAATTACTACAATTACTGGAACCACCCCAAACCGTGCTCTTAAGTAGCATTCGGGGGCTTAAAAAGGAGTTCTAATGCCTATGATGTCCGCTGATGAAGAGGAATGGGCCCGTACATGTTGGCCAATCTATTGTACATCACGTAGACAATCTTAGAATGTGAGATTGGTATTTTAAAAACCTTGGTCGCCAAAATTATGAAGCATACTTATCCCCAAATCATGACTGTAAAAGTCAGGATGCAAGTTCCTATCTAGACAAAGTGGGCGAGAGCTCGCTCCCTGTCATTGTCATACATCGCCAAGGCTCCGGTAACAGCAACAGCTGGGAACCCCATTTCTCTCAATAAGTTGTAGGAGGGGACAAAATCGAGCACCTGCGGATGGTAAGTTGTTACCAGTCAGAATCTTCGCATCTAGGTTCTTCTCGGAGGCAAAACTAGTCGTGCTTCGCTTCTCGAAGGCTGGTAACTGAGAAGTCCAACATATCTCCATTGATGGATATCTTATCACTAGAGCTAAACCTCAAGATCCTGTCCAAAGAGTACTATCTATCCTTCCCTCATAACAAAATCTTCTCAATTGATGCTCTCCATTGAAGGTGAGCACTGAGAACCAAAATACTCCTTACTATTTGAAGACTAGTAACTGAGAAGTAGAACACATCTCTCTTGATGGATATCTTGTCACAACAGCTACACTCAAGACCCTCTCCAATAGATACTAAATATCCTTCCCCCATAACAAACAAAAACTGCTCAATTACTGCTCTCCATTAAAGGTAAGCACTGAAAACCAAAATACTCCATACTACTTGACATCACCATCCAACAAGGACTCTAAACGTTAAAAACAACGTCAAAGGAGGTATTCACGATCTATGTGACGGATGTATTACTAATTCTAAGCTTCGCATGCACTAACGGAGCTCGAACCAACAACAAACTCAACACGACCTAAGATAGTAAAAGATGTAGGGAAAAAAATGAGGCAAGCAGAAGGTAGGAGCGATACGTTGCACTACAAAGAAAGGTGGCCTAAGATCAAGACAGACTCATTTACAATCTTTAAACAAATCTGGAACCCTTTAAGGAATATCTGCTTACAAAAAAACTTATAAGAACCACTTGATCTGGAGAAAGACAGCGTATAGCTTTTGAAATCCTATCGAATGAAAGTCTTAGATCCCGCGGTAAAAAACACTCTAATTCCAGTCTTAGCGGTGGAGAGGCATGAGCATTTCGAGAACTGTAACAGTTTCTTCATATACAGTTCACAAATACCATCAACAAAACCAGTGAACAAGGCTTGCAAGCTCATACTGCACCCCAGGAAAGTTTTCAGTCGTTTCTCAAGAAATTTGAGAACCACTTAGGTGTAGCGAAAGACCTTATTCTGAACATCCCCGTAAGTCGTCACTGCCATCACCACAGCTTCCCTATGTAGACCCATAGCAAGATATTTTCTGACCACCGGATCATCTACCATTCCCTGTAACATTCACAGGTCACAACTATAAGGAAGGAGCATTTCAAAACAGCATAATTCAGTGACATTCAGGGCCATCGACATCACTAATACCGTCAGCAGTGTCACAAAAGCCTGAAACTTCAAAATCCTTGAAAATTCAAACTTGAAAAGGATGAGACTAGATCTCTAAAATGACGATGAATTTCGGTGGTGAAAAAGTAGACACATTGTGCGGTCTATAAAAGTACCCCTACAGTCAGCAAATTCGATACTGGAAGTCTTGGCAGCCTCTATATTGTAAAAAGGATGTGATTATACAGCACCAAGATTAGAAAATTAAAATTACATATATATATATATATATATATATATATATATATAAAAATAAATTTCGATGACGAGCGGTCATTGAAATCACATCAAAAATTGTAGCACTTACTGCAAATTCCAGGCAGAAACTACCGACGATAAAGAAACTCTCACAATAACCTTGCGTGGAGGTAAATTGATCTAATTGATCCCGCAGAAAGTAAACGAAATACAATAGTCAACCTCACGAGATTCACATCGTTCATTCACACGAAGAGTAATACACACAGCTTTGTAGCCTCCTTGAAGGTGCTTACAGGAGTAAGATTTTGTTCGCCATTGGCCCTTGCAGGATCCCAACCTTGTGCTCCCCTTTCTGCTTCTGCTAATATTCGTCTCTCCAGCTCGAAATCGAAGTTGAACAAACTTCTAGGTACCTCCGCATTTTGTGGCAGTATCAGCTGTACCTGCAGATAGGGGAGCTGAGTTAAGCATCATTGAAAGCTAACATTTATCAGCTGGCCACATCATAACTGCTAACTGCAGGGTAATAACAAATGAAGAAGAAAATGTCAGAAAACGAGCTCCAGTCGTAGCAGCTGCTTCAGAAAGTTGGGGCACCATTTATGACGACTGCAAGCGAATCTATACGAAATCCACATAAGACATAAGGACATGTTATTATGTTTTGTGTGGGTCTTTCTGCTCTGTACATGAAATCATGCACAGAAGTCAAGACAGGCAAGGTGCTTGACTGTTCTTTCATACCGCAGGTCCAACTCGATATTCTGGCTTAATGGCAACTCTGATACCCGATCCTGCTGCAATTGACCAAAACAAGAATACAATCAGCGTTCGTCATCTCGACAAAATCCTTCGCAAAGGTGATTGTGTGGCCCATACCACCTCAATACCACTATTTTGTTCAGAATCCGACTACATGGCACTTGGTCTGAGCGTGGAAAGTATTGAAGTCTGCATTGATCACTTTTCATTTTGATCCCAAAAAACCAATATCTTCCGATAGAGCTGTCTGATTATTCCCTGACGAACATTTAGCTTCTAGACATCATCTTATGGTTCAAAGGGTCTTTACTCAGAAATCAAAATAGATCACCTCTTTTGTAGCTTCACCATTTGCTGTCTGAAACTCAATATTTGAAGTGAAAGAGCAACGAACTATAGTAAAAGTCAAATATAGGTAGCTTATATCAGCCAAAGGTATCGTGACCTAACAACACTGCGCTTTTCCTTCAGTACAGGAAATAAGGCTGAAAAACGGAGAGATTTTGCAAGCAAGATCAAGTCGAAAAACCCTAACGGAAATCATCTGGATTCTCGTTCCGTGTCAGAATCAGTTGCTACCAGCAGTAGAAAATTGAACTCACGTAAATTGCTAGCAGACGGATTGTTAGGGATCGGTGCAGGAGGACGATTCACCGACGGACCCACAGGTTGAGCAATTCGTGGATAGTAAGCTTGATTCTGCGAAACGGGTGCACTTCCACTTCGCTCATACCGCGGTACATACATCGGCTGTCTGGAATTGCTGTCGTAGCCGGAGGCCTGTTGCCTACCAGAAGTGGTCAATCCTCCTCCTCCTTTTCTGTAATCAAAATCCATCCCCTCCGCTTCCCCTGCTCGTGATAGCTCCTTTGGACAATCAAAACCTCACTTACACACACACAACCAAATTCTCAATCAAAATCTCTATCGCTCTATCGACGAAATCCGACCCGGACCAACGACAGAGAATCGACAAATTCTGTGCGGATTGCCACTGGCTGACACCTATCTGTCCGAAAAACCGATGCCCAGCCCCAAACGCGCCGAGAGAATGAAGAAAAGCTGAGGCACAAACTTCGCGAGCTCCCGTGGAGATTCGACGATTGCGGAAGCTGCGACTGGGCAGGAGCGAGGGGCGCGGTGCTGCTGCTTCTGGAGCACGACACAGAACGAGGCCTTGACTGCCGACGAACGCTTCCTCGGTGACTCACCACTGCGACGCAATTTTTTTCCTTCCGCATTTCGAACCATAATTGTGATGTCCATTCATTCAATTTATTTCCACACCCATTGGCTACCTAATATTGCTGATTTTTTCATGGTATCATGTGTTAAACATTAGAAGATTACACAAGGCGATATGGAAAATGGTCATAAACACAATAGACTCTTAGTGTAATGATTTTTCGTTCGAGATTACTAATTTTTATTCCGATATGTTTGTCGAAAATACGTTTCAACATCGTTTGTAGTCTTCGTGATTTCCCAGCAACATTTACAAGAATTTGAATGGATGATGATTATCAGATTTTCTGTATATTGTGCCTTTCAGATGTATATATTGATTTCTTTTGAGTTATAATTTTTTAAGTTTTTCAATTATAAGCCCTCAATTTTCTGTTTCTATGGTATCAAAGGAAACAAAATTGATAGTTTGTATGTGAATTAATTTTGGAAAGATTTTGTGATACTTATAATCTTTCAAGATTTGTGTATTTAATGACAAAAGATGATGATAATCTTTTAATGACAAAATATGAGGTTGTAGATATTACATGGATTACTCAATGAATACGAGTTGCTAATCACATTCAAAAATTAGGTTCTTTATGTGAAAATTGTAACAACATATACAAAAAAAAATTTCAAAAAAAATTACTATAGAATATAATGATAACAGGTACACACACAAAATTAATAAACTAACTTCACGAAAATTCTGTTGAAAGCAATTATTGTTGCAGGTGTCTAAATAATTTTTTTTCAACGCAAACCAAGAAAACTTATGAAGCACAAATCTTATTTGAAAAATTTGTGGTTAAGGTTCAATGAGCTAACTCCAGAGAAAAACAACTTTAAAAATAAAAAAAAACCCTGGAATATTTATCACTAAGAGATATCAATAGCTGATGTACCAAATTTATTTAGTGGCAAGCTAATTGGTCGAACTGACCTCGGTTGATTCAGCTGAAGTTAACCAAAACTTGAATGATTTCATAACACTGCCCCTCTTGACTTGTGTTTTTGGTATTGTAAATCCAAAAATCTATATGATTATTTTATGAGCATTTTTAAAAGAAAATCTAACATATTATTACCTTTAAGCTATTGTTAACTACAACTAAAAGTATACAAAACTTGATTAAAAAAGAATCTCATATAAAGATAATCTAATGAGATGATATTGCTAATATACTCTAATTTTATCCATATAAAAAACCTGGAGTGTGATACGAGATTTTGAAAACTCTCTGAAAAAATTTCTTTGCTTAAGACATCAATAACATTGTAGTCTGTTTTGACTAACTCAATTATTTTATCTTGTGTGAAAAAATTATACATGGTGTTGATGTATTGAATACTAATGTTTGTCACTTGATTCACAACTATATGTAAAATGATTCACTAGATTTACAACTTATGTCATGCATTATATTGATCTTAATGACAAGTTTATACAACCAAATTGTCTACTTCGTTGCTTCTAATATTGCTTCATATTCAACTTTTGTAATTAATTAAGCTGACCAATGCTAAAATTTCATACTTCAAACACATAAGAAAAATTCAATATATCATTAAGATATCTAAAATTCCATCTAAGAACAACCAGATATAACTTTCATGGATAAGACTTAAATTTTTTACTCTTGATCATATCCAGAGCAACGTTTGAAGTAATGCAAATTATTAAATACATGAAAGTTTTTATTGTCTTGTTGTAAGTTTATGAAAGCTTGAAATGATGAGAAAAAAAATTCTTGATAATTGATCTTAATAACAAATTATTTTTTTAGATGCAATAAACAAGTCATCCACATATATTTTTGAAATTTGGAAGTAAGAAAATCACTTTTTCACAAGCATCAGTTATATATTGTTTTCATCTTCATGAATTTAATAAATCATCAAATTGCATATTCTAAATGCTTGTTGTGTTCATATAAGATTTCATTAACCTACAAATAAAATCCTATTAATATTTTTCATAAAATCTATATGACAATATTATGAAGATAATCTCTGTAATGACAGATTATTACCAAATGGAGCATAATGGTAAAGTTCTGATCCCATGAGTACAAAATCAACACAAGAGAACCAAGTAGTGTCACAAATTGACATTCTATTGAAGAGTTTTATTTCTCAGGCACATGTCACTCCCAAAAGCCACTGCTCAATTTCGGCCGAAGGCCCGAAGAGCAGAGTATAATCACACTCACAACCTGAAATTTCTCTAATCCACACCTGTGGGAGTCGCCTTCGATCCCACACTCAGATTTCAGGGGAAAACTTCCCAAAAATTGCATATTTCCGACCTACCGACCCGAATACCCAGACCCGAATTGGCTTAAATCCCGAAGAGCTCTAGGCTACTCATAACATTCAAACTGGATACTCATAACTCCCGATGCGGTAGCTTTGACAAACAGGAGCGCACTGTGCTCAATGGCAGGATCACACACTGGCACACTGACACACAATGGATACAGGTTTACAGTCAAGACAAGTCAATTAACAGAAAAGCCCCCCAAAAGCAGAGCCTTGGGCCTCTTTATTCCTAACTAACACTCCGAGATGTCACTCGCTGTGATGCGAGCTTCCAACAGGCACGACGCCATCCGACCCGACAGTTACAACGCCCGCTGAGCTCCTATCTACTCCTATCCTACTCAAAACGGCTGACAGTTCCAATTCCAAGTCTTTTTCGTCTCCTCCAAACCGAAGATGAACAAATTCAGCTTCATATCTAACTGCCAATTCCCTACTACTCCGCTGGTTGTCAATTCCTTCACTCGACGCTCAAGCTCCACCATGCGCTTGAATTCTTTCTCAAATCCCTTCAAGTTCAAAGTTTGAAGTCTTTCTCAGAAGTCTGAAGGTTCATACAAACTCAAATTCAAAGCTTCAAATTAATAACTTCTTCAAACGGACTCTGTCGAGGCTGAAATTTTGCAAACAAGTGCAGCTAACTAAGACCAACAATCTCATCAAATTTCAGCTCTAGTTGACACTCTAGCCCAAAGATATGGCTTCTGCAAGATCCATGCTCCAAGGCCGAAGACGGAAAGGCCGAAGGGATCAAGGCCGAGGTCCGGAGACCCTTCGGCCAAAGGCACTTTTGCGCATTTGCCTCTTCATACCAGCCACTTCTGACACTCATCTCTCAGTGATCTCTTATTCGTTTCAAGAGTTCTTGAGCTTGTTAGAACCAACGTGCCGAACTCTATCCATCAAGACCCTAATTAAGTCAAATAGTTACTAATTGAAAAAGTTATGAGGTATTTACTCTATCAGATTATAACTCATCTAATTCAACTTTACTGCCTACAAATAAAAACACTAACTTGAAAGAGAGGAAGCTTAATGGATTCCACTACTACTAACTAGAACTTTACCATAAAATCCACTATTAACTATACTTTGTAGTATTATTGTTCTAAAAGTATGAAATTATTAGTCTTCTAAGTCTCAAACTTCTTGTTTCGGAAAAAAAGAGGATAAACTAAGCACCACAATCTCATTTAAATGATCATGGAAGAAAGAAATCAAAATAATAAGTTATTTTAAGTAAAAAAATAAAATATCACAATTACACAGTAATAATCTTTAGTTAGTTAGAACTAAAGTAGAGATTTTTGTTTGAAACTTGTCTTGAAATTTAACATCAATTATGCCCTACTTTATGTTTATTAACTTGTTGTGTAGCCGGTTTTATTAGAAGGTTGCTCCTCGAGATTAAAAAAAGTTCATACATACTTCAGTAATTTTTTATATCGTAACTTACAGCCGATAGGATTTGCTTCTGTTGTAAAAAGCCAAACTTAGCTTAGAAATGCCGTCATTCCCTCTACATTCACTCCACTCCAAATGAAGTAACTCCTTGCTGATCCTCATCATCCATCCTACTCCTAGTGGATGGATGACGTGGCAGATAACCCTAACAAGCACACTGATTGCTAACGTGACGCTCCCAACTAACACATTCCATACTTACCTATCAAGCAGACGGATTGCTGACGTGACGCTGTCAACTAACAAATCTACTCTTTACCTACCAAGCGCGCAAATCGTTGACATGGCAACTATAACTAGTGCACGCTAAAGTATCTATATAAACATTTAGAGTAATCTCCACTTTAGTTGTAACTAACTAAAGATGGTTACATTAGTAGACTTTAAGCACACTTTATCTATATTTTGATTTTACACTATAATCTGTGCAATTATATGTCAAATTTGTTTTTAGAGCTATTTAGAATATATCCAGCTGTAATACCAAGCTCTCCATTTGCGCTTTGGAACTCCATGTCAATTTTCTAATTCTCATTTGTTGTAAAACGCTACTGTAACTGAAATTTCTCAAAATTACCTTCCATTCAATAGTTTTCAAGCGGTTGGAGTTGCTAAGTGCCTCCAACACTCAAATACGTCCTTGGCTTTGCTACTTTGTGTTTGTCGAGAACGGTTCACACTCAGAGAAAAAAACCTAAACTGTTGTACAACTTAATATGAAAACATAGTTGGGAGGCCAAAAGTGAATCAACAATACAAACATGACTTTTCCTACCATAAATCTAATCTATATTTTTTAATAGCTATTCTTTGAAAAAAAAGTTAAACAAATCTACTTCTATTTTTCTATCAAAAAATAAGTTGCTTCAAAATTATTTAAGATGAAATTATAGTTACATTAGAGAGCACTAGTCAGGTCAGCTGACGTGACAACTTTACTTCATTTATGAATAATTTATTCATCAATCTAGTTTCGTTGATTCATTACAAACTTGTCAATAATATAATTTTTTAGATTGTAATTTCACACACTATACATTTATTGTTGATCTTTGTGATGCTTAGTTTTTACTTTTTTTTTCCGAAACGAGAAGTTTGAGAGGTAAAGGACTAGTAATTTCACACTTTTAGGATAAGAACACTACGACGTAGAGTTAATAATGGATTCTGTAGTAGAGGTCT